CAAGGCTGCCAGCAACCACTATAAGAGTTTGGAAGTTACTGGAAGAGAAAAAATAGAATTTGTAGAGCAAGAAAAGATTGCAAATTATATGAATCATGAAAGCAAGATGAAGGAAGTGAATTCCAAAGAACTGATGTTCAAAGAAAAAAATTAGAGGAATAAGAATTTTCAGAGCACTTAGGAACAGTCACAGAAAAAGGATGAGACTTGATTGAATGGCAAGTGACACGAGAATGAATTTTAGTAGATGGAACAAGAGCTGCTACCTCTTTAGAGCAGTGCCCATTATATTATTTGTAGAAAAGAAAAAGAAAAGCAACATCATGACAATGTGACAGTGGTTGGAGATTGGCTGCAAGAGCAGGTCCAACTATGTTTACAATGCATTTTTGCACCTTAACTAAAAAAGAAAGGGCATCATTAGAAGATCCGCCCCAAATATGGCAAGAGTATACCATACAGGGACGGATTTGAGATTTATAGAGATAGAGAAGAGAATCTGGAGTAAGGAGGTGTCGAGCTCCATAAAGAGATGCAGCCTTAGCAGACGCTAGTTTTGCAATGGATTTGGTATACGGTTCAAAAAAAAGATCAGAAGTAAAAGTTAATCCTAGAAGATGAAGGGTATATGACTCATCTAGTACATTATCATTCATAAATATAGGAAGATCTAAACTATTGCAATAACAATTGGTCAAAAAAATTGAGTCTTATCTGAAATAAAGCTCACCAGCCATTGTGAGCCCCATGCTGTAGCAGAGGTAAGAACTTTTTCAAGCTCATATACCCCCCTCTATCAAAGAGTGTAGGCTTCTTATCATGACAAGAATAAATGGTAGTGTCGTCAGCAAACAACGGCACCTTAGATGTGAGAACATCTGGAAGATCGTTAATGTAAATTAAAAAGAGTATAGGGCCAAGGATTAAACCTTGAGGAACCCCTGAAATTACAGGATATGAAGAAGAGTGTATATATATATATTGTTGTACATTAAGGACAACACTCAATATATATATACATATATATATATATATATATATAAATATATATATATATATATATATATATATATATATATATATTTATATATATATATATATATATATGTATATATATATATATATATATATATATATATATATATATATATATATATATATATATATATATATATATATATATATATATATATATATATATATATACACACACATATATATATGTGTATATATATATATATATATATATATATATATATATATATATATATATATATATATACACATCTTTAGAAAGAAAAATTCTTAAATGTTCTTTTTTTTTTGACTAGGTACCTATTT